ACACTGAGGTTGATCTTGACATCCTCAAGTAGTGGGGTCTGTCTTCCTTTCCTTTGAACTTAGAATGGAACTAAAGACTGCTCTGAATAATATAGGCAAGCTGTATTGTTTTGTTGCTCTCTTAGATTATAAAAGCAGTGGCTTCTGTCTGAGTTTCTCTCTTTCTTGTCATGTTTACATGTGGATTATAGTCACTACACTATTTAGAAGCCCAAGCTACATGAAGAGTCCTGGGACAGTTCCTATGTTTACATTTCCAAGTACAGCCTGGAGCACCTGACATGATAATAAAGGAAACTTCACATAGCCCAAGCTAAAAAGAAAAAAAAAACAAAAAAACAACAACAAAAAAAATCTCCAAGACCAGCGCCAGTCTTCTTTAATACAATTTTAGATATTTATCATTACCAGTAGTTATATCTTGCTGCATAACAAATCACAGATTTTATTTGGTTCTGAATTCTAAAAAGGTTTATCTAATAGGGATGGTTTAACAACCAGAGACCTTTGAAAGATTGAATTTTTATCTTATTCCATGGTGAAACCCTCCATAACATTGTTAAATATAAATGACAAGAGCAGATATTCTTTCCCTGTGTATATTAGAGAAGATGTGTTTAGTTTTCACCATGATGTTAGCTCTCAGTGTCTTAGGGATACATTATCAGTTTGAAGAAGCTGCCTCTAATCTGAGTGGCTAATCTGTATAGAACTTTTATCATGAATGGATGTAGGATTTTTGTCAAATACTAATTCTGAATTTGAGATTCAGATGTAACTTTTTTTCTTTCTTCCACCAATACCATCAATAAGTGTTTATTCTTTGATGTTATGTTAACTTTGCCTCATTAGAATATCATTTAAGTGGAATTTAAATGGTCTTTGCTTCATTTGGTTATCATTATTTGTTAAATTCACACTTCTGGGATTGACTTAACATTTTTAATGTAATTTTTTATTTATATATGACAGAAGAATGCATTACAATCCTTATTACATTTATAGACTCCAATTTTTCATATTTCTGGTTGCATACATAGTATATGCACACCAATTCATGTCTTAATACATATACTTTGGATATATGACTTGATTTAACATTTTATTAAGGAATTTTGGGGCCTTTGTTTATAACATATACTGGTCTGTACTTTTGCTTTCTTCTGAAGTTTTTATTTGGCTTTGTTATCAAGTAATAAATGTTTCCTCTATTTTAAAGAATTCACACTATTTGGTTTTTAAACAATTGATAGAATTTCTAGTAAAGACATCTGGGAAAAGGCTTTTCTTTGTGAGGAGATTTTCAGTATACCTAAATTTTCATACCTGTTTTAGGAACACAAATGTTTCCTATTTCTTCTGTTAATTTTGATCATTTGAATCTTTATAAGAATTTGACCATAATTTTTTACTATTTTTGCAATAAAATAATTTATCATATTTCTTTACAATATTTTGTTTTGTTTATGATTAAAATATATTTCTTATTTTATTCTGATTTTGATATTTTTTTCTTTTTTATTTTAAAGTTGTACTTTAAATATGAATAGGCGATTCTAATTCTCATTCATTGAGTGAGCATGAGAACAGACTGCAGTATCGTTTAGGATTGGGACAAACATCTGACAAAATATTTTGAAGGCATGAGAGGCAAATACAGAATACTTTCTTTTCCTTCTTTCTTTCTTTCTTTTTTTTTTTTTTGGTACCAGGGATTGAACTCAGGGGCACGCAACCACTGAGCCACATCCCCAGCCCTATTTTGTATTTTATTTAGAGACAGGATCTCATTGAGTAGCTTAGTGCCTTGCTATTGCTGAGGCTGGTTTGTTCCTCCTGCCTCAGCCTTCAAAGCGGCCAGATGTGCATCCTGCACCTGACCAGAATTATATCTTGATTATCATAAATAGACCACAAATTATTAATTAAGAGATTATTAAAATAGAAACAAAGTAGACTAATGATAATGGAAATTTAAACGGTCTATTAGGAACATCACAATTATGTGTGACATCAGTTGTTTAATGTTTACAAAGCCAATAATTGAATTTGTTTTTTAAGTATTAAATAATAACTAAACCCTGTATAATTTTGTTGTCAAATATTTGGTCATTATACTCTTGCTGAATCAAAGTTAAATGAAATTTTATTATTGCTCTCTGAAATATAGATTAGATGGGTCAGAAAGAAAATAGGTCATTACTTTGTCAACACACTTTAGTAAATTATATACCTAAGTGAAAAAACGCTGCATTACTTTTATAAATTATATACTATGGCAAAAAGTTCAAGGCTTATTAGACTGCAGTAGTTCTCAAACAGAGATGTTTCTTCCTACCTAGCTTGGCACTAAGGAATTCAGTATATCATTTTCAAACCCTTAATTATGAAAAAATTAAAAATGTATTTAATAGAGAAAAGAATAACATAATTAAATCCATAAACCTATTAGTCATTTTCAGCAATATGAACATGCTGTTGTTATTGTTTTTCGTCTATCCTTGATTGAACATTTATTTTATGGTTGTTGCAATGCTGGCTTCTGACATTTAATTTCAGGAAATCTAGGTGTCCTGCAGTGCACAGAATTGTTTCACACAACAAAGATTTGTCTTAGTTAAAACGCTTAAAGCATCCCCTGGAGAAACACTATTAGTAATAAGTTATTACAGTATTGATGTTTTTTTGTGACAATTTACTCATGGAAAACATCAACTAAAATGACATTTTAGGGCAATAATTAAATAATTTAAAAACTACCCAGAATTTTTGATGGATGAATGTAGACCTAAATTCATTTTGATAACCTTTTTATATATTATAAAAGTAGATTGTTAAGATAAACACAATTGAGGGATAAGACTTGTCTCCTCTGTAAGAAATTCCCTCTCAACTAACCTAATGAAATAAAACTCTAGAAAAAAGTAGAAAAGATATTCTCCTCTTTATGTGGGCTCTGGACTTGAACCCACATTACCATGCAAAACAGGAAGTAGAGTGTTTCTCATTGTCCAGATGTTGAACAGGTTGTCATTCTTCTTAACAGCAAAATCTGACATAATATAAACTATTTATCTATTTTAAGTGGCTGTATAATTATCAGTGTGCTTTTCAAAAATAATAATAATATATAATAGAATTGAGAAGCACTGACTGAGGAGTCAGAACATCTGTGGTTTTTGTAAAAGTCACAACTCCCTAATTTTTTTAAGAGTTCCATATGCATAATAGGGTTGACAATAGTGTCTATATAATAGTTGCCATGAACCATCAATGAGTTAATCTGTAAAATGTGTTTTAGAATATTGTTTATTAATTGTTAACTTTTTAAAGTTTTAAGCATTTGTTTTATTGTTGATATACAGTTTCTTTAGAAATTTAAACCAAGGTTAGCAAATTTACTGACTTTTATCCCTATTCTGCACTACATGAATGTAAGTACTAATAAAATAACTGTATCTAGCTAATCTCCACAGAATATAACTGGTAATAAAAATAAGAATTTCACCAAAACATTGAAAGTTATGTAAAACATCATCTTATTTAATACAACAAATCTATGAGGAAGGACTTATTGATATCATGTGTTTTACATGGGGAAACTCAGTGAAATAACTTAATAAGAAAGGTTCAATAACTTTTGATAACTAAGCCAAAGTTTTTTTTTTATCAAATAAGTTAATATGCTTTCAACAATATCAATATCTTACATCATATGTATTTTCACAATCATTCTCCAATATTAATAACATATCTTTCATAACTACATCAAATATCCTCATTTCATATATTCTCTGTCCATACTGGTACACAAGAGTAGATTTCACAGTGACATATGGCAATGTGTAGATATTTCTTTTATTAACGTTCAACATTTTTTAAAATTTCTTTCTACTGAATTTTATAGACTTGTGACAATCAGTCATTCAAAAATACTTGTGTACTCATTTTTTTAAAGCTTTCCAGATAGAGGTGTATAAGAATATTTTGAATATTCAATAACACTGTAGAAGAATTTAACTTTTTCTACAGAAGAATCAAGACAGAATGTATGGTAGAATATATATGTCTTTCAGTTTCATACTCCCGGGCTTGCATTTTTAACTCCCAATTTTTCTAGCTATGTGATCTGGGTAGGACTTTAAAAAATTGAAACAACTGATTCATCTGTAACATATTAAAGATAAATTTTGTATGTTGTAAGCTAAACTTACAAAATATTAAAGCATTTTGTTACAAATAATTTATTAATCTAATTATTTATAACATAATACTCTTATGTTTTGTAAGTAATACTTTTATGTTTTGTAATAAATTATTTATAGCATCCTTCAGCAAATGACAGGTAGCAAAGGGTAAGTTATTAGGTTGAACCCAAATCCTGTGATGGGATTTTAACAGATGCCTTTTCAGTTGAGACTTATTTTGATACTGTAGACAGAATCTATTATCTAACAAAAGTTTGCTTATTCTTTTCTTTCATAGAACCAAAAAGTAATTTCAAGATATCCTAGCTTTCTATAATGTTCCTTGATTTTACTCCCTTAAGTCTATTTTCTTAATTATAACTTATGTAAAGCAATCTCTCTTTCTTCTTGATACTTATCATTCTTTTATTCAGGAAGAAACTTCTGACAGGATTAATTTCAAAAGGGTCATTTAAGATGTAAAACATGGCAGATAGTAAAATTTTTACTACATTTGTAAAACTTAGAAAGCTATATTTTTTAATCTAATAAAAATATTGTTAATGGCAAAGATTACTCTTGTGAACTAACCCTGGTAAGATAGTTAAGTCATTCCACCAGAAATGCCCTAAACTTATAAAATGCCAGCTAAGTGGTTCGTCATACCTAATGGTGAGTTTCAGGGATGAACCCTGGTAATATGCCTTGTTCGTGTCCTGACACCTAAGCATCAGTGTTGCACTGATGTTCTTTATTGAAGAAAGAATAACTAAAACAATTTTAATCATAATTTATGTTTTTATGTTTCTACAGGTAACCCATTATTAACCAGCAAAGTCAACATACTAATTAATGTCTTAGATGTCAATGAATTTCCTCCAGAAATATCTGTGCCATATGAGACAGCCGTCTGTGAAAATGCAAAACCAGGACAGGTATCTTACAAATACTGTGAATCAAGAGTATATAAAACTATTGGTGGTACACACTTGTAATTTCTTTGACTTGTGAGGCTGAGAAATTAAGATAACAAGTTTGAGGTCAGCCTCAGAAATTTAGTGAAACCCTATTTCAAAAAGAGAGAAGTGAAATGTAATTCATTGGTAAAGAAACCCCGGGTTCAATCCCAGAACCCACTGCCCCCCTCCAAAAAAAAAAAAAATGTTTAAAGACGCATCGTATGTGTATATTTTCAACTCTAAGTCCAGACATATATACATGTGCATATGCTCATATTTCAGAACAAGTCCTCATAAAATAAATCATAAGAGATATTAAACTTGTGTGGATTATGGTGAATAAATGGATGTGAAAATAATCCCATAGGGAATAAAATTTTGATTTCCTAGCAAGTTTTTTGGATTGTGCATTCTGCCATTTTTGTACTCTCTTATTGTGGCTTTTCTAAAGAACCTGACTGTGAGCAAACACTCTATGGTGATATATTGATGTAAACTTCAATCACTTTTAAGTAACATAACCACTTAATTAGGTAAATTGAATGAGTTTTAATTCTTGAAATAAATTTTACATTTGAAACAATATTTTTTAAAGGGCACACTTTAAAATTTACTGACTTTCAATTTGTGCATGTAATACTTCTTAGTAGATTATTTGTCTAAAAGCTGTGCACCAGTGATATGTACTATCAATATAACTATTATATGAAGTTTAAATAAAATTTAGAGCCCATGTTCACTCCAGTAACATTTCAAGTGCTCAGTAATTGTATGTGTCAAGCAGACACCATTTTGGTGAGTAACGTTACATTTTCATAAGCATGGAGACTTCTAGATTGACTTTGTTTTCTCAATCATTCATAGATGATGTGAAGAAATCACTACATATTTTCATCATGTTACCTCAAATAAGAAATCTGCATTATTAATTTATAATAGTCACAAAATGGATTAAACCTTATCACCTTGAATGCATCCACAATATTCATGGATGTCTGTTTCGCTTGTTCTACTCCAATGTTTTTAATAGTAGATGCTACATAAATATTTGAGCATAAATTAACTAATTTGGATAATTTGAAAATTAAAATAAGTTTACAAAACTTCTACAAATTAGCTATTTTTCACTTTTGAGGAGCTCCACTGTGCCAAAGTATATCAAAAAGCCATTTTTGTCTTCTGGAAACTTAGGAATATTAATAATATCAGGCTAATCAAAATCTTATAATGTTCCAAATGAAATTAGCCTCTGGGAACAGAACTCTATTTTGATATATTTGTCTAATAAAGTGAAAGATTTGAGCTACTGGTACAAGTCCATGTTACTAGAGATCAACCAGATTTTCTTATTTGTGGACAAAGTAGTGAAAAATCCGTTGTATTCTTGCAAACTCTATATCAAAAAATATCTGTTGGGTTTTTGTGTCCTACTCCTCAATACTTATGTTCAAAGCACAGTGCTGAAATGTCCCTTGAGTTTGCAGGGTGTGTGATATATTGCCATTTTCTGCTTTGGGGACCCAACTATAGTGCCCCTGGCCTACAAACCATTCATAGCAAATAGCTCTCTCTTCTGGATTATTCTTGAATATATATATATATATATATATATATATATATGTGTGTGTGTGTGTGTGTGTGTGTGTGTGTGTGTGTGTTTGTGTGCACGCGCTTGCGCTTTTCTAAAAAGGAGAGAAATAGTAGGGAATAAGTTGGTCTTATGTAAGCCCGTGAAAATTTATGTGAGAGTTATTTTCTTCGGGGAAGTGCTTTCCAAATAACGTTTCCAGATAAATGAATGTCTTTAATAGTTTCTATATGTTGTCCTAAGACCATTTTCTTTCTTCAAAAATATGTTCTTGATATTTTGTTGTTAAATATTTTTAATTTAATAGTGGCACTAGCTAACAGCATTAAGAAAACAAAATAAAAATTGACAATCAAATATTGGTTCCTTAGTAGTGTACAGAACTTTTAGGGGTGAAATTCTATGATTGGAGTACATTGGTCTGAGTCAAAAAAAGTTAATTTTCAGGGTCTGTATCAAGATTCTTTTTAAATTATCATATTCTATCATCTAATGATGAATTATAAAAGTCTCATTCATGACAATTATACAGGGAAAATAAATTCTGTGCAAAGAATTTGCGCTATAAGAAATTAAAATTTCGAATCCAGAATCCAAAATTCCTAATTTTGTTACTAATGCTGCACTGATATATAAATGCCAATAACAGCTGTTATTCATCTATCCATCATTTAGGTATCTCTCTGTGTGCCCAAATATATGGGAATGTAAATTGTAGTCAGGAGACTGGACTTAACCAGGAATAAAAACTAGAAATAAAACAAAAATTAAAAGCATCAGTTTAATAGCATCAGTCATATGATGAATATTTTACACAATTATGGCAGGTTACCATAATTGAATATAACGTCTTCCTCTGCCAGATTGAAATTTAGTTCAAAGCATGATCCTCTGATCAGCACACATCCTTTGTCTTTTGCCACACATGCTTCCTGAAATTAGTCTGTCTGGCACACAGCTATTGGATATGTTGATTCAAAAGTGCTTGAAAGCCATTCTGATTTTTGTTTTGTTTTGTTTTGTTTTTGGTGGAATGGAATCCATATCTTTTTGCATGCCAAGTAAGCACTCAACCACTGAGCTGCCTGTCTAATCACTTAAAGCCATTGTTACTTCCTTATCTATGTAGTGAATTATGAATGTTATAGTTTGGCTCTGAGAAATTACTTTTTGATTGTTTTCAAGTTTAAGAGCATCTTACTGAAATATCAGGAATTTAACTAGACTATATGCTACTTTTGTTGACAGTGAAGAACATTTTTGAAATAGGGATTGTAATGCTTATTATGGAAATCTATAAAAAACATATTTTTGTTCCTAACCAATGAGGGAAAATTAACGTAAAAACAGAAACAATATACACATTCTTTCTTTGTTTCCCATTGTTTTATACATGAAAATAAAACTCATTCTAACAAATAACAGTTCTAAAATTTTGCTATTTCTAGCACTTTTAGATAATCAAATATTTTGTTTCCAGTAAGCAGCTTCATATTTAGGCTGGAAAGCACTTAATTCATCTAATTTAAAATGCAAACAAGTACATTTTAGTTTCATTTTGCTTATTAGTGAGAATTTTCAATGCTGTTAAGCTTTTCAGTTTTACATATATTGATTTAGAATTAACCTGTGTCCTATAATTGAGCCTGCTATTAAAACCTGTAAACATTTAGAAAATTGTTAATAAAAATTATGTGTGAGTAATTGGCCTGTTGAAATGAATTCAAAAAGTATAATTTCTGTAGCATTCTTCATTAAATGGATTTATAAACCTGTTATGTAAAGTTCCTTTCAAAACTGATTGACTTCAAGTTCAATCTTAACTTTGTTTCAGATAATTCAGATAGTCAGTGCTGCAGATCGAGATCTTTCACCTGCTGGGCAGCAGTTCTCCTTTAGATTATCCCCTGAGGCTGCCATCAAACCAAATTTTACAGTCCGGGACTTCAGAAGTAAGTATAAACACTTAAAGATTTACTTTTTTCAAGTAGCTTTTTCAAAGGGCACATATAGAGGAATCAGTACTTTTATTAAAAGCATTCAATTTTGTAAAATAAGGAAATCCACATATGAGAAATCCAACATTGTCTAAATAGTAATAAGTTAAATATTTAATCTATATGGATCTATCTAGAAGGCCAATATATTTCCACCATACAAAGGAATGTCTCTTAATGAGCCATGCATGTAAAAAAGCTACCAAATTGAAAGTTGTCCCTAACAAATATATCCTTTGGCTCCCATGCATATTTCTTGTACATTCAAATAGGTAACTTTATAGTATCTGTTTTATTTTAATAACACTCAGTATAGCACAGGTTACTAATGTAGATATTGTAATTAGAATAATTCCCAGGCCATACCAAAATGGTTGACTCTCAGAAAATTATACTAAACGATGAGAACTTCACTGTGCTTGTATTAAATTCATGTATACAAAATATGAAACATGAAACATAATGGTTATAATATATTACTACCACTAGAATTTTAGTTATCCCCTCATATACCATGTTTACACTTACTTTCTACTCCTATTATGGCCAGCACTGCTACTACTTCTGTTATTACTATGACTCTATTATATCTACTACAAAAAAACATAAAGAATACTGGATTTCAGATGCTTCTCAATGTATGATAGGATTATGTCTCCATAAACTCTTCATAAAGTTGAAAATATCTTAAATTGACAATGCATATCATATACCTACCCTACTAAACATCAGGGATTAACATATCCTATCTCAAATGTGTTTAGAACAGTTTGTTAATCTGCGGTTGGTCAAAATCATCTAACAGATTGTCTATTTTACAATAAAGTTTGGAATATATCATGCAATTTTTAAATATCATACTAAAAATTAAAAGGTAACAATTTCATACTATGGGTATGCTTTCATACAACATATAGACTAAAAATATTTAACCATGAAGTTGGGAACTGTCTAAATTAAGGTTTATGTGTTCTCTATTAAGTAATCGTAAATTATAGTTTTGCTTTTTGGATTTTTGTTTGTTTTTGTTTTTTGCTTTGACATTTGTATCTCTTAAAAGTTTTTTTTTTTTTTTTTTGGATTTTATAAATAAAGTGACCACTGGAGTTTAAACTTCAGGGGCACTTAACCACTAAGCCACATTCCCAGCCTTATTTTATATTTTATTTAGATATAGGTTCTTACTGTGTTGTTTTGAGCCTCACCTTTGCTGGGGTTGGCTTTGAACTTGTTATCCTCCTGTCTCAGCCTCCTGAGCCACTGGGATTATAGGCACGTGCCACACTGATCCTGGCTTCAAAATTTCTATATACTAAAAAATAAGAATTAAAATGCCAATTTTTATAATATTGGGTAGTGAGAAGCTAAAGTTTTAATAAATTCTGTTTCTAGAACTAAGTACTTAAATTATAATGAGATGATAATGATGGTGATTATTGGTAGATGCCCAAGGATGTTTTGAGAAAACTGGGTTTGCTTTAAATAATTAGAGAAAGAAATTGGAGTCCCCATGTTTTGTCACCAAAGAAAGTTGAGTGAGAATGACTCAATGCTGGGGTCTGAAGAACAGCTGTACTTGAAACAGCACCCCAAAGTTGAAGGATTTTATGAATAAAGCAACTACATGTTTTATCATGAAAATGGTAACACTTCTGAGAACAGAAGTAGACAATATTTATAGTTTTCAGTTAGAGCAACACATATAAAGTAGAGCTGTCCAAAACAAATCAGGTCGTTATGTTCACACTATTTATAAATAAGCTAAATGTATAGTAATTCAAACAGAGTAATTTTATAAGTCTTTGAAAAGTTTATGCAACAGTATAACATGTTCAGATTTTCATTTTGGGAAGATCAGTCTTATGTAATATGGAAAAGACATGACAGAGAGACAAGACTAGTCCTGGCACCTTTGCATTATTGGATGAGATTGGCTGTGAAGATGAAGACAACAGGATGGAGAAAGAATTCATAGAGCTCAATGCAGGATGCCCTTGGTTTAATTCATGAATATAATGCAGACAACTCAGATTTTCAGATCATAGGATTGTTGCTCACATCACTTACTCACCCTGAGTATCTGCTATGCCCCACTAATCTGTCTTTGCTGGAGGACCAGGATATAATCATGACAATATGGACCAGACCCTCTGTCTCAGGAGCAGTGTTTGCTTATAGACTGCACATATACCTGCTACAGAATTTAATGTCAATTATTGCTCTACTGCAAGCTATCTTTGTATACTTTTTAGGGTACAGAAAATGTTTTAAGAGGGGAAATGAGGTTTACTTTACCTTTTTTTGTTTCATTATTGACAATGTACAATTTTCATGCAATCTATTTTCAAAAAAATAATAAACTGAAAATAAATATTTTAAATATCCCAAAATATTCTAGACACTGTGGTGCATTTCTGTAATTCCAATTTTTCAAGAGGATGAGACAGAAAGATAACAAGTTTGAGGCTCTGCAAACTAACGAGACCCATGTCAAAATAAAACCATAAAAGGCTGGGGAAGTAGCTGGGTGGTAGAACATTCCTGAGTTCAATCCCTAGTACTGCTACACAAACAAATAAACCTATTAATTATTTTCACTCAGGTTACAATACTTAATCTTTGTTCCTTTTCCTCAGATTCATGTAGAAAAACATCAAGTGCTGAAGATTTTAGCATTGCTTCGACTAGTCTCCATTTTTCTATCCCTATTGTCCCCATGATCATTTGACACGTAAATCTAATTGGGAGTATCCTAGTAGACACCTGGCATTTTTAAGTTTCGTTTCTTAATTTTAAAGTATTATGTCTTTAATAATAACAAAGTAATCTTACCAAAACAAACACTGGTCTTATCACATTTATACTTTGCTCATCAAGGTACTTCGTTTTTCAGTAACTTCTGATGGTTCCATTGAGTATCTACAAACAGTACAATGTAACATAATGGAAATGATAACAGATTTATATTTTATTGAGTAATATATTTTTCTAATTTTTTAAATCTATTTTCATGTGGGAATTATGAATGTTAATATATTGATAGATAATAAACTACATATCAATCTATTTGTAAAAATAAAACATTTTGGGTGAGTTTCTTTATTGGAAATAATAATGGAGAGTTTTCAAATAAACTAAAATTTCTGCTTTCATGTATAGAAACATATAAGAAAAGAGCAAATGAATGCAAAATAATATTTTCAATTGAAACAATTAAATTTATATGAAATGGAATTTTGGTGTCTTTTATTTCTACAAATATAACTACTATTAATTTTATTCAAGATAAAATATTTTCCTTTGTAATTACATTAAAGTGGTAATAGTTCATGATTTTTACAAATTTTTATGTATTTTTACATTTATAATTGGAATGTATTTTTTCATCTCTCTTATTTCATCTGATGTGCAAGAGTGAAAGCAATTAAATACCTACACATGCATGCATACACACACACACACACACACACACACACACACACACACACTCATACCTGCAGTTGTCTGTTGGTATGTTAAGGATTAATTCCAGGACCCTAATACCCATAGAGTCCAAATTTTTCAGAAATACAAATTCCTTATAAAGCATGTCATAGTATTTTCACATAATCTGTGCACAGCCTTCTGAAAACTTCAAATCATCTCTACATTACCTATTATACCTAACACAATGTAAATGTTACAAAAATAGTCAATTGTACTCTTTATGTATAGCAATGGAAATTTTTTTCCATTGCTTATTTTCTCAAATTTTCAATCAATGGCTATAAAATGTGTGGATATGGGGGGTTCATATATAAACATGTTTATTTGTTTATGTATGAATGATCCATATGAAACACAGGAAAAATCAGAAGTTTTAATCTGAAAGAGTTGATAGATTTTTTAAAAAAAATAATCTTTTTAGTTGTAGATGGACACAATACCTTTAGTTAATTAATTTTTTATGTCGTGCTGAAAATAGAACCCAATGCCTCACATGCTAGGCAAGCAAGAACTCCACCACTGAGCTGCAACCATAGCCTCTGTCAATAGATTTTTAATGAATTTTAAAGAATAGATTCTTTTGTAAGATATTCAACAGATTAATGCTTTATAATTTTTTTTGCTGTGCTAATATGTGTGGAACTATTCACAAAAATGTCTTTTCCTCAACGACTTCTTTTCTTATAAAACATCCTGTATTTTTTTCCAAAATACAAAAGCTAATTTTCACAGCAGACAAGATTAGTGTTTCCTCCTTCTTTAAGGATAATTTTTCTGGCAGCTTTCATGATATATGATATAACTAATATAAGGATGCATTTTACCAATTCAAGAAGATCTTCTTATACTTAGTGGATACCAATTTAAAGAATTGAAGTGAAATTCGCAGTAACCATGTTATATGAATGTCCTATTTTGTAGACAACACAGCTGGAATTGAAACCAGAAGAAATGGATACAGCCGCAGACAGCAAGAGTTGTATTTCCTCCCTGTTGTAATAGAAGACAGCAGCTACCCTGTCCAGAGCAGTACAAACACAATGACTATTCGAGTTTGTAGGTGTGACTCTGATGGTACTATCCTGTCATGTAATGTGGAAGCAATTTTTCTGCCTGTTGGATTGAGCACTGGCGCTTTAATTGCAATCCTACTATGCATCGTTATACTTTTAGGTTAGTTTCAACATTGATCAAGTTCTCTCACATTCCTATGTCTCGGTCTCTGTCTCTGTCTCTCTCTTTGTCTTTATAGAGCACTTGGTCTCCCTCTCAGTTTACAATGTAAATAGATTTTTGTTCACTGAGCTGTCACTTCTTGTTGTTATAATTTATCTATATTACAATATTTTATGAGATATATTTTTTATTTAATCCCTCATAAATCACATCATTTAAAATATAAAACTGGATTTTCAAGTTTGTGGCCTTTGCAAAATGAGGTTCTCTCTAAAAATATCTACTTTTTGGCAACAATTTCTAAATTCATTTTATATTCTAGTAATTACTGCAATCGAATAAAAGATCCTATAGTCTTTTTAGAAATGTACTAGGTGAACAAAAGCTCTCAAATTCTGAAAAGAGAAGAAAAGAAAGAAAAGGGCAGTAAAGAAATAGAATATAAAGGAATCCCCAAATTTTATTTCCTTCGGTTAAAACTGCCTTTCAGAAGCAATTCTTCTTCCAATTACCCCATATCCCCTCACATCAAGATTTTAACTATTCCAACTCTGAACAAAATTGACTAAAATATCTAGGCACAATACAAAGGAAAAGGACTGAAGTAAAATGTGTTCACCATCTCTGTGATAGTGAATGTCAACCAACTTCAGGGCTTTGCCTCTCCCATCAACTGTTCAGCTTTTCTATTTCACTTTCTAATTTATTGCCTTATTCACACTAGTACAGAGAGATTTCAATTTTGCATCACTTCTTTAAAATCAAATTACAACAGATACATTGCTGGGCACTGTGGGATAAGTTTGTATATGCATATTTTCCATTCAGGAAAAAATATTCTGAAAAAGATGAACACTTTCCAGTAACTATAGGATAGAAAGCAAAACTGTTAAACTACTTATAGGAGGTAGAACATGGAGTAAGGAATTCGATGATACCTGTGTGAACATGCCTTGAGTCAGATATTCATGCTGTCTTGAAGGATAAAATTGTAGTCCAATTTACATGTGTATTATTAATTACATCTAAATAACTTTCATAAGCATAATGAAATATTATGGCCTTATAATTTATAATAAATAATTATTAGTATCTATTTGTGCTGTTCATATAAAACTTAAAAGAGTACATTCAAAAAAATTCTAACATCTGGAATTGAACATGATCAATTAGGTTTAAGTTCAAATCAAGTGTTCCTTTCTCATTCTGGTCATTTGTTTGTGACTACTGGAATACCAGAGTAATTCCATAGCAATTTAGCAGCTCTGCACTTTCCCTAAGACTTAGGTAATCCCAGAATCTAGGAGACTTGTTTGATTGCCTAGGGAGAAATAACAGAGTTTCATCATGATGTATTCTTCTCTACTCTCTAGTTCTATGACAAGAGTCTTCCAGACTCTTCCAATGTAAGACAAAAGGATTTTGCTCCCCTAATTATTTTTAATTGATTAAAATGAGCAGGCACATTGGGAGTATATTGGTCTATTTGTATTGCTACCTTCAAACAGGGTAGCAAGTAACATGTCTGCTCATCATTACAAAGCCCTGAAATCTACCATGCACTCGTTCATTCCATGCTTTCTAATGCCTGCAAAATACCTGTACTATTCTAGAGGCCGTGAATTCACTGGTACAGAGTAGTGAATATTGGCACTCTTCATTTTCCATGGTGTCTGCTTAAATATCCACTATACTTTGACTTCTGTAACCAACCACAGACTTCACTAGGTCTGCCATTTTCATTTCCTGTGTGAGTTGATGGGAAGCACAAAAATTCAGTGGTACTTGATTTTCTTTTAGATGGCCTTCAGGCAAGTCTAAAATAGTCTGCTTCACTGCCATGATGACTCCTAAACCAGTTTGCATGCAGGAATTCTCCATGAGGCTTTCGGTCTCTCACATACTCCCCAGGCAATCAAACAACAGTCTCTTAGGTTTGGGGATTGCCTAAGTCATAGGGAAAGTGCAGAGCTGCTAAACTTCTCTCAAAGTCTCATTGTACAGAAGTCCTCCCTAGGTTCCCTCCCTTCTTCCAATGCCTTGACTATAATTTTGAAGAAAGAGAAATAACTGAGTTTCATCATGATGTATTCTTCTCTAATCTCTAGTTTTATGACAAGAGTCTTCCAGACTATTTCAATGTAAATCAAAAGGATTTTGCTCCCCTAATAATTTTTAATTGGTGCCGCAGTCTGGCTGCAGCAAAATGGGGGGGGGGTGACGAGCAACTTGTGTAGATTCATACAGCAGGAGTGGAAGCCTTTTATTGTAGGATCGGAGGGGTATTTATACATTCCACACAGCTTATCTTAATTAACATAAACTAGATACATCAGTCAACCAATAAGAAATGGCTTTCTGGCATTACTTCACAAACCACTCCCTGTGGCATTTTGCCAGGTGCCATCTTGACTTGTTTACAGACTCTAACATTTCCCTGGCAAAATGCCAGGCGCCATCCTGACTTGTTAACAGATTCTAACAATTGGTTGTCTCTAAAAATAGTTATTTTATTAAAAACACAAATTTCCAATTTCCAAATGAGAATACTACAATTTGGAAATTAACAATGATATTTATATCTTGCAGTTGATGATGATATTTAAGATTTTTTTAAAGAGAGTGAGAGAGAGAGAATTTTTTTTTTAATATTTATTTTTCAGTTCTCAGTGGACACAACGTCTTTGTTTGTATGTGGTGCTGAGTATCCAACTGGGGGGCACGCATGCCAGGCTGCGTCCTACCGCTTGAGCCACATCCCCAGACCCCCCCTTTTTTGTATCAATTCTTACAACTCTGTATAGTTAGAACACCCCCACCCCAGCATTTTTGCTTAAAATACGGAAATATAAGGGCAAAAATGATATTTTGAATAAATGTTCTGTGGTTTCTTGTTATCATTTCCAAATAAAGTTGACTTCAGACAATGAGAAAAACATAAACACATGCGTGCTCCTATTGATCGTATAGTGTTTTTACTCTAAGACTGGAAACAGCATGCCTTGATCAATTTTAACTTTCTTGGAATGATAAATGACTCATCTGCCTTCTTTTCCCCAATTGCAATTTGTCTCCTCTCAGCCATAGTTGTGCTGTACATCGCATTGCGCAGGCAGAGGAAGAAGGACACCCTGATGACCTCCAAGGAAGACATAAGAGACAACGTCATTCACTATGACGACGAAGGAGGCGGGGAGGAGGACACGCAGGCCTTCGACATCGGGGCGCTGAGAAACCCGACAGCAGTGGAAGAGAACAAAATCCGCAGGGACATCAAGCCAGACTCTCTTTGCCTGCCCCGCCAGAGGCCCCCGGTGGAAGACAGCACGGACATCAGGGACTTCATCCATCAGAGGCTGCAGGAGCACGACCTGGACCCCGCCGCCCCGCCCTATGACTCGCTGGCCACCTTCGCCTACGAGGGCGCAGGGTCGCTAGCCGGGTCGCTCAGCTCCATTGACTCGCTGGCCACGGATGCTGACCAGGACTACGACTACCTGGCGGACTGGGGACCGCGCTTCAAGGTCCTTGCTGACATGTTCGGTGAAGAAGAGAGCTACAACCCCGACAAAGTCACTTAGGGAGAGGCGGAGGCTAGGTGCAGAGGAGGAGAGATTTTTTAACTGGAGCAACACAAGTAGACATCAACGCGCGCGCACACACACAGGCTTTATAATGCAGGATTCTTTTGACTGATCTGGTTTCTAGCAAGTGGCTATATTTATCATACTGTCAGTTTTGGTTTATTCTGTCTACACAAGATAAATCCTATAATATGTACTTGCTTTGTTTTGTTTTGTTATTTCAGAAACACGCTGAGACAAGCTCAGGCCTATTAAATACGATTTACTGACATGACAACCTACAACGAAGATAGCTATGTGGCATCACGGTGGAAGAGTGTTAGATTTTTCTTAATTCCACTAAAGTGCCTATTGAAACTCTTATCATTTAAAGTGGTGTACCCTACACTCTGCTGTGATGTGGTTGCAGGATTCAGTGATAAAGAGGAATAAACAAAGACATCTTCAAGGAGCAATAGCACCCTGCTGACTCTTCTCATTCCTTTTGAGACAAAAAGGAAACTCTGAACTCCATCTTCTTATAATTCGAAGGTGTTTCTTTTTAAAACTGTATGCCAAGACACGTTTGCTTTTCCTACCCTTTCAGAAAATTGAAATAAATGTGATAATATCAAATTAAATATGTAACCCATGAATTTGAAAAGCAATGTTTGATCGTAACATAAGTTCATATTAAAGAATGTTAATTAAAATATTACTTTTTTTCCAAAAAAATAAAATTTTAAAAAAGAAATGGAAAAAAAATCCCTCTTTATAAAGAGAGGCCTCAGGGCTCAAATTCCACATTAAAATAAATATTGGTTTTGTTTTATACTGTAGTGGTGTGTGGAAATTGGTTTTAAAAAGTCACCAAATCATTTAAACTCTCAGTTGTAGATAAAATACTAGCTTATATTTCTATGAATATTTTCAAAGGGAACAACAGCTATTAATTTAAATAGAGAAAGAGCAATTCATTACAGTTTCTTGGATTTTCTTACACTCTAGTGATTCTTTGTTGGTCAATGAAAAAAATACATATCAAATAACATAGGCTAGATGTACAACACATCTCCAAATATTTTTATGTTATTGAACAAATAAGTCAGGGACTTCAGAATGTTAAATCCAATGACTAAATCTTAAACGTGACACAAATGCAAAATCAGGCAGCTGATGCACTTACTAACATGTACTTTGTGAATGCCATTCTAATACTGCAGCTCAGAGTTACCTCTTTGCTATCTCACAAACAACAATCCTCAGATTCATCATCCTTTACAACTTCCCTGTAAATAGATTTTAAATTTGATACAAGTTTCTAAGAAATATTCAATTTAATGAGCATATTAGTAAACTTCACTCATGCTAATTTCAACTGGATTGTATATTATTTAGAAATACACATAACAGATATTAACTAATTAAAGTTGTATATTTCTCAATATTAAACCTATAAATGTGTCTTCTGAAAGATTAACACTATGTATAATTAGAAAATTAAAGTTGTTGTAGTTCCATCTGAAATCTAAGATCAATATCTAACTATAGTTTTAAAATATCTATGAATATATTTAACATTTACAAGATCATAAAACCAAAAATTCACATATGGGAAAATCACGTGGAAATATGAATAACCGGTAAATTATACTCAGCCATATGCACACACAAATGCTTACTTTAAAATTATCTATTATTGATGCTATGGCAATGGGATTCTTCAAATCTGCATTTCCCATCTCTTTCCTCTTTCTACCAGTTGCATAGTTTCCTTTTCTCCTTCTTAGGAATGACTGACAAACTTGCTTTCCTCTACTGATCACCCAGTTTTTACTTCAGTCTCATTCCTGAGAACTACATTACAATATTCATGTAGTATAATTTTTTCTAATGTAGTACACTTTGGGAAATATTTACATACTTTTTTTTAGGAAGCTTATAATATCATCATCTTTCCCAAGAGAAAAATTAAGATAATTTCTAGATTTGCCCACACAACATGATTCGCTCTGTTATGAAGAAAAACCTCCTGAAGAAGGTTAATGTGCAATATCATTCCCTTTTGAAATGATTATTATTGTCAGAAATTATTGCATTTAACATTTTGTAAAGGAATATCATTGGATCTACAGTCAACAGAAGCCATGTGACATGAAGAAAATTGGGAGGGTCAGATTAGTTGAAACCATGTGACTAAAATACTAAGCAAAAGTATGAAACTTGTGGATCTTATTTTTATCATATTAATAAAATTTTATTTTTAGGACATCTATCTCTTTTACATTTTCAGCACTATTTGTGTGGTAGGGCTACTCTAACAAAATATCAAAGATTGAAATGCTTAACAAGAGGTGCTTTTCCTTACAGTTTTGGAGGGTTGGTTTCTTCTGAGGCCTTTCTCTTTGCTTTAGGATAAATCCTTTGTTCTGTGTTTTTACATGGTCTTCACTCTGTGTTTATGTTTTTATTTATTTTTTTTAAACAACCTGCTAAATAGTAGATTAGGTCTTAGTCATGTAACCTCTTTTTTACCTTACTTATCTCTTCTAAGTCCCTATCTTTGAATGCAGTCGCAAAGACAAATTAGGAGATAGAATTTCAGCATAGGGATTTGGCACATAACAACAATACAGATATTCACAGCAAACTTTTTTTTTTGAAACCAAAAATGCATTTGATTTCTAATAGCCAACCACCCAATTATGTGAAAAGAAAGTGAAGGAAATAATCTTCATTATAATGGGAAACTAGAAAAATGGATATGGGGAAAGAGTTCTGTTAGTATTAACTAATTAGAAGTATTACAGAATAATTTTTATGCTATGACAAAAAATAGATCTAATATATCAATATTTTTATTTTTAAATATGTTTTAGTTGTAGATGGACACAATACCTTTCTTTTTAAACTATTTTTATGTGCTGCTGAATATAGAACCCAGTACCTCACATGTAGCAGGCAAGCACTCTCCCACTGAACCAGAAACCCAGTCAATTTTTTTAAAATTTATATTAACAATCACAAAACTTCATTCAAGCATTAAGCAATATAAAACTATTAAGAATTTATATTTATATGGGTAAATATTGACTATTAACTATAATTAAACTATAATTTTATTGTCTTGCATATGTATCTTTATAGAAATATATATGTACATATTATATATAAGTATGTTACTTATAAATTTTTAAATATACTACCTTTGATTTTATTCAGAGAATATTTATCAACATCTAGCAGTGAAACTCTGTGATTGATACTCTAGAAATAATCTAAAATTGCTTTTGAACCAAATTCTGTCTCTGGCTATTAATGTCCAAGGGGGCAAGTTCCTTCTTCATCTCTCAATGTTCTAGTCACTGTGGTAAATTTAATTTGTTGCACCCTAATGTTTTGTAAGCTTCCTCTGAAATTTATTGGCTATTAAATTCTAGTGATAATCACAAGTCCATTAAATCATTTGTGGATTACAAAAAAATCTTGAGACTCATAGAGATCTTGGAGTCATAAATCACAGAAATCTTTGAAGTATGTAGTTGATTGATCATACATTAAAATTTTCCACTTCTATCACAGAAAGGAGCCATTCTTTAAATACAGATGCAGAAGTTCTTTAGGTGGCATAGGAAGAGAGAGAAAATAGTAGGAAAATAGCTAGAGCCCAGATCTTGAGGCAAAGAGGAAAAATAAATCATTGGGAGGAAAGATTAAAAGATATTCACTATTTCCTATAGAAATCTTTGCAAAATTTTTGATAGCTATTGTATAAAACTGAGAATTACTAATAACAGATGTAACTGCGTAGGTATTATATGTGAGGTGGTTAAACTGTGACTAGAAATAAAAACGAGGTTTTTTAAAAAAATCAGTAAACAGTCTCAGTATTCTTCCAAAGAGTATGCCTGTACAACGGATCGTTGTATAAATCACCTCCTGCTTGAAAATATCTATTTTTGCCTCCCCAACTACAGCAGCTTGTCCAGATACTCAGTTTTTGTTGTAATCGTTTCTTTCTCATTATTTTGAAGTATTCTTCTATCATATTCTGGCATACAACTCAACTGAAGAGACAAATATGATTGCACCACTCTTTCATGTGTATGTGAAATGGTTTGTGTTGGATGATATTAAAATTTTTTTTCTTACCCTCGGAGTTACAAAATTTCATACTAATGAGTCAAGGATGAGAATTTCCTAATTCTTAGGACTAAATATTTGAGGGCTTCTTTAAATATGCAGCCTCAGAATCTTCACTTCTGGGAAATTTCCTGGTATTCTTTATTTTGTTGCTGTGGTTTTGTTTGTTTGTTTGTTTGTTTTGTTTGTTTGTTTGGTGCTCTGGATGTAATGGCTCATTGTCTTATTTAATTTTGTATCTTTTAATATTTTATCCTATTTTCATGATAATAATTTTCTTGGTAGTTCTCTTTTTTTTCTGCTTGCTCTGCTCTTATATTTAGATGAGTCATATTTAAATGTCTTCATTTTCTAAGATGATGTTAATTGTAGCTTCTTTTTAAAAATAGTTATACTTTTTTATTCTTTCATACATTATGAGCTTCAAATGAGTACAGGAAAAAGAACTATATATTTAATTGTAGTGTATTCCATTTCAAATTCAGAACTCTTTTCAGTGTTCTGCCAAACATGATATGAACAAATTTTGAAACTTTAAAGTGTTCTGTTGAGATGATAGGATCTCAAACAGTAGCAACATGAGTTCTGGAGTTTATAATTTCACCCATCCCTGCTCCACTAACCTTCCAGGCATTTACCCAAAACTCTTGACTGCTATTAGACAATATGCCACATTCTTTATTGTGTAAACATACAAATACACAGATGTGCATATAGGAATAATATAAAAATAGTATATCTAGATGATTCATAAATATTTGTTTCCTTAACGTGAAGTTATTTATCTTCATAACTCTGTCTAATTATGGCAGGGACATATAAACAGTCACAACTATATAAAAACTTAGATGACCTTAATAATTTGTCTCTGACATTTGTTATAAAACAGTGAGACTAAATCTTCCATGTTTGGTTAATATATATTACACTCTATAGATAATACACTTATATATTAGCCATTGCATGTTAATAGGTCTAAATTTTATCATGAACCACCACGTTGTTCAAGTTTCTTGTAATTCTTAGTACACAGATTTTTATAACAGTCAGTCTGAATCACTAATTTTTTTCCAAAGTTCTTAAATTCCTTGGGTATTTATGTTTAATCACATTTTTTATTGTCTCACTTTAAAATTAATGTTATAGGAGGTACTGATACCCAAACAACTTGTGCAAAGTTGAGAAATAATAAATGAATAGGAAGTAAAGTTCTTTATTCATGGAGAGTTAAATAAATCTAACGTTAATTTCCGTTCTTGGTATTTTTTCACTGGTTTTCTAACCACAACACTGTTATTTACTACTCTACAATGAAAAATAAAATCAACAGGAACTTCTGGGAATTATGGTTCATAATACAACATATTATTATACTTTATCAAGAAAATAACATCATTGTTTCTGATATCCAATATCTTACCCAAGAGTCAAGACTGAATGACACAATATTTTTCCACAGTACAAATAGAACTCTATTACATAATTGAAGATATCCATGTGTGTATTATCAGTAATCCAAATATATGAAACCACCTCATATTATACCTTTTACAGCATTCACATAAGTCATCTAAATACAACCTTGGCCTTTATTTTTTAATGCAGTTATGTTCAACGTCTTTTCTTTTTAGCTGCCTTGAGTGCACTTCTACCTTAACCTTTAGCAACACTAAAGACACAAATACCAAAAGTAATT